GCTCAGAAAGTTTCAGCACTCCAGCTGCTCTAGTTGCAGAGTTACGTCAAATTTCACGTGTGTACACGTGTTCGTACTTGAGATGCAGAAGGGCTGACAAGTAATTTACTTTCACGGACACAACAGTGGGCATCAAGTAACGCTGCAAAATTGCAGCTCTCTGCAGTTTATTGATCGCCTTAAATTTGGAGTTGGCATGATGCCAGTTTAAACTTTGACGCGTGCGTACGTGAGTCCTGAGGGTGCGTGAAGGCTGAATTTGAAATCTTTGGATCAGACGCGGCCAAGGAACAACTCTGTGAAGTTCCAGCCTCCTAACATGGGCCATTTCCGAAAACGCTTTCCCGCCAAAAAAAACTTTCACGTGCCCCTACGTGAGAACCACGCGGACCTGAGCGTCCATTTTAAGGATACGAGCCCGCACGCATGTGTAGACTAAGTCTCCAAATTTTCAGCCTTGTAGCTTTTGTGGATCTCGGGATGAAAGCTCGTTACAGACGAACACACAGACACACATACATACATACACAGACACACACACACAGACAATCCCTCGACAATATGCGTTTTTGCATTGCATAGCTGCAAAAACGCATAAAAAGTTGTGCAGATTTTGCGAAGCGTAAAGTTTTTAACGATAAAATCAATAAAGAACAAATTAATAACAAAAAAGAATCGGTTAAATTTGAAAACGTACTGAGTTTATCTCTATCACTTAGTTCCGGTCGGCTTTCGTCCTCGCTCTCCGAATTTGATGAAGAACTACTGCCTTCTGATCCCGAAGTTTGCCGCTGGAAAAAAAAAAAACTTATACTTTCCATATACGAAGGTGTAACAAATAAAAAATAACTGGCCAATGCACAGGCTATCCGTGCGATGATGCGTTTTTTGCATAGTTCTCCGCAGTTTTTGTCGCTTCTGGCATCAGTTTTTTCGGCAGATCCTTCTAGCTAAACAAATTAAGACTGGCCGCCAAAACTGGCATGAAACATCCCCTTAAAATTTCAGCTTGCTAGCTTTCCTGGCTCCTGGGTTAGCAACATTCTGGAAAAAATTTTTCACAAGCCCGCACACGGGTACCACGCATATCCGATGTCTGGGTTTGAGCTCGTTAAGACTTACTTTCACGGGGAACATCTTCCTAAAACTACAGTCTCTTAGCTTTTCAGGTTCTCGAGTTCTCGTACCACGCATGACCGAGGGCTGAGTTTGAGCTCGTTGAGACTAATGTGGACGGGGAACATCCTTTTTAATATTACAGTCTTCTAGTATCTAAGATCCCAGAGTTATTAATTCACCCGGGGAAAATTTTGGCGGGCCCATACGCGGGGGGTTGAGTTTGAGCTCATTAGAACCTACTTGGACGGGGAGCATTTCTATAAAATTTCAGCTCTCTAGCTTTTCTGATTCGCGAGTTATCAACTTACCGGTAGAAAAATTTTGGCGGGCTCGTACGCGGGTTCCACGCTTACTCGGGGGTTGTTTTTGAGCTCATCAGTACTTACTTGAACGGGGAGCATTTCCATAAAATCTCAGCTCTCTAGCTTTTGTGATTCACGAGCTAGCAGCTTACTCGTAAAAAACTTTGGCGGGCTCTTACGTGGGTACCACGCGGGAAAGACCACCCATTTTGGGGGTGGGGGCCCGTACGTGAATATAGATTAATCCCCCAAAGTTTCAGCCCTCTAGCTTTTGTAGATCTCGAGATGAAAAATTGGTCAGAAGCCCTGCGCACACACAGACACACACACACAAACACAAACACACACAGACAACCTCTCGTCAATATGCGTTTTTCGTATTGCATAGATGCAAAAAGGCATAAAAAGACAGCTGTGGAAGCACACCAGTTAGATCTATACGACTTTGACTTTTTTACCATCTTGTGACAGCTTAAAAAACTTTGGAGGAAAGCTAAGTTGGGCGTTGGAGTCTCAATCCGCCAAAGTTGGGTCTTTTCTGAAAATTTCAGAGACTTACTTTTCTCCTTGACTTGCCATCTTGGCGCTTTATTGTTCCGCCTCGATCTTCCCTGTAGATTTCCTTTTCTTCATCACTCTTCTTTTCATCACCATCTTTTTTGCCTTCACCGAGACCATTTGTATTTTCGCCCTTCTCGTATAACTCTGCAACATGCCCATTTATTCATCTTAGAATCAGAAAAACCACAAAAATTTATAACACACATTTCAAATACTCATAATGATTAAGGGCATACAGCTGGGGAAAGACAACAATCCTGCGTATATTTTATCCATGTATATATCATATCCAGTATAAGAAAAAAAAAAAAAAAAACACAAGCAAGCATGGGCAGTGAAGTAACAGTGCTGCAGTACAGTAGGTCGAAGGACAAACAAACCCTGTGCGACTCGTTTATTCATATCGATGGTAAATTGGTACTGGCATATGCCTAAGAGTCAAACGCACTATTATTAGCACGTTTGAAAGGAATCCTTGGAAGAGGGAGTTGTTGACATCCTTGCCACAGCCCCGCGTGGTTGCTGCTGGCATTTGCTACCATTCGGACCACTTCTCGAGTGCCTTCGCCTCTCACTAAGAACGAATACGGAGGGAGTTTTTGACATTGATATGTTTATCATTTTAAAAGCACTGCATTTATAAATAACTAGAAATGATAGTCATATCCAATTTCGAGAATTTTCTGCGTTTCCTATAGGTCGGCTTGCTGGTGATCCCAAAATACACTGGAACATTCTTTTTTCTCATCTCCTTGCTCATTTGGAAGGGAAGAAGGACGAAGGCAGAATTTTTTTCGATAAATGCAGACCCCTAATAAAAATATATAAATTATTTACATTCAATATTGAATTTTTCGCAATGTGTAATCTAAGAATATATTTTCGGGTTTCTACACGAATTACAACAGGAAGGTAGTCAGTTCAGGGAAAAAAGGAAACCTTTTGCAAGTTTGGGCGCCGCATCTCCTATTACAGCAAGTGGATGTCTAGGCGGTAACCAAGATACTTCGTCCGTTCGTGGACACCAGTAATAATGACGCGCACAGCCCGCATCATAAACTTCTTTCCAACCTGCAAAAACTGCCCATCATGCGCCACAAATATATCAATTTTATATCACATTCGCAGTTTGCGTAGTCGCGTAAAAAATTCATTAATATGACCAGAAATAACTGGCAAATAAAAACAATGGTTTCTTTACAAGGCTTACCATTCGGCAGAGGATATTTTCTGAGTATTTTCGCTCGCTGTTCTAGATATTTCGACGATAATCTGGAACGGAAATTAAACTGCAAAAAAAAGAAGCTATACCGCCATTATACCACAA